GCTAGAGGAGCATCTCTGCAGTAAGGCCTGGACATGTAAGATGTTTGTTGATTTTTCTTTTTTGAATTTTTCTTCTTCTTCTTCCTCTTCTTCTTCTTTTCATTCCTTGATGCATTCACATGGTACATACACAGTAGACACTACATACAGATAGTGGAGAGAAATTGTAGGATGATGTAACGACTACCTTGACATTCATATCCATATCCCCATCGCTATCCCTATCCATATCCACGGTTAATCATTCACAATGAACGTCGAGTGCAAAAACCCACCAAATATAGTATACCTACAATAGATAAGATAGACATGACAGACAGGATAGACGAGGTGAGTAAGGGCAAGACAAGACAAGACAAGACAAGACAAGGTGTATATACATACTCTCCATGCCCCCCCGAGTCTCATCAAGTCGAATACATGCAATTTACCCTACCCATGCCACTTTTTGAAAAACTCACGTTTCCCATGCCCTATTTATATCCATATCTATATCCATCTCCATGTGCATCTCTCCCCAACCAACCAAACCAAACCAAACCAAATCAACCAACCAATTTCAATCAAACCAAACCAAACCAAACCCAAGTAAATCAACTACAACAGAGTCGCATATGACATATGGCATATGGCATATGGCACAACACCAAATGAAAATGCCCCAAGTACCCCCAACTCCCAAACAACAAGCCAACGAGCCAACGGACACGGAAACAAGGCATATGACCCCCCCGGACATGGTGAAACGCCCCAGTGGTGCAGCATGCCCGACGACAATCCATGTTTGAAACAAGGTCATTTTTCTGCAGCACGTGTTTCTGCTTTGCCGAGTCATGGCCATGGTATTGTATCAAGTTAGTGGCTGATAGTAGGTGTACAAGTACGGAGGCGGGTAGAATGTAGTAGTAGTATGTAGTAGCTGTTAGTTAGTTAGTTAGTTAGTTAGTATGCATGTACGTATGGGCCGCAAACGGTGCTGCATGGGGGGGGGGGAAGGGACAGGGGAGGGACGGATATGTATCATCGAAGCAAGGAACAAGGTAGGACCCGGGATACATAAGTGCTGTTACTTTGGGATAGAGTAGCGAGAAAAAGAGATGCAGAGAAGAGAGCAAAATGCGAACAAATCAGCACTTCCTCTGTTTGATCTCAGAGGCCAAAAAAAGTGAAAATGTTCAATTGGGCTCATTTCATATTGCAATTGGCACCAAAAAAAAAGATCCACGAGCGCGCATGCTTATCTCTCTCTCTCTCTCTCTCTCTGTGTGCGTG